ATAATTACAAAGTCAATCACAACATACCCGTTCCTAATTTAAGCCAAGTTTGTTCTAGTCACTTAATGGAGTTGGCTAAATAGAAACTCAGATAAGTGCTTGTTAATTATACTAATTAAAAAAATGGTTGAATTAAAATATATGAGCTATGTAAAGCCTAGTTAAAATCTGAAGTTACTTTGTGCATGTAAGGCAGTTTCTCAAAGGAATAGCTTCTGTTGCCTTAGTTATTTGTGGGGTATATCTCTGAGTACGTTTCAAGATATCGATGCAGCACCTTTTGGTTATGGGGGGAAAAGAGAGAGGAGTGCCGTAACTCTGGAGGTTTGTTTCTTCTCAATTCTTAGAAAAGTACAACTAACAAATTTCAGAGCGAGTAAAGAAAGGAGATACTGTATCTTACTGTCCCTTAAGAATCCATTTGTGGGTCTCCTAGTTATATGAAGAAAGCCAACAGAAGACGCCTTAAGATTTCATCCTTATTTTATGCTGTATGTTATTTCATAAAGAACTTGACTTGCCCCACATGTCATTAGTGGCATTTATTTTGATAATCCTAGATTTTGTATTTCAGCTCAAGTGACTTCCTTAGATAAGCTTCCCCTGAACCCTTCACTGGGTCAAATTGTACATTTCCTTTCCCCAAACCATTAGATTTTTACATTAAAATTTTTTTGATTAATCTCTCAAATTTCCCCATAACCCTAGAGTTCAGTGTCTGTGAGGACAGGAATATCTGGTTTTGTTCACAGTGAATCCTCAGGGCTTGGAACAGTCTTATGAGTAAAAACAAAAACAAAACAAAACAAAACAAAACAAAACAAAAGAGACCTGATAAGGAAATGATCAGAGAAGCTATTTTTCTCTAAGGCCATTTGTTGAATTGAATAGACTCCAACTTTCATTTTGATGATGATAGGAACAGAAATCACATCACACAGGTGGGAAGTCTATCAGGACACCACTCCTTACAACAAAGTGGAATCCAGTGGCTATGCAATGAGAATGAATTACAAATGAACCATCGTTTATGAGAAATTTAAGTCTAGGATTAACCTGGGTATTCTAGAAAACTTCAAGCCATGACCTTCATTTACCTAACCAGTATGATGATTCAATAGCACCAGGCAACTTGGCAGTAGTAAAAACAAATTCTTGTATTAATTATACAAATAAATGGCCAACATATAATCAAAGATAACCAGGTACACAAGGAAACATACCATAATGAGCACAACTCAGCAGGGCAATAGATAACAAAAACAGACCTGTAAAAACTTTAGATGTTAAAATTATTAGAGTACAAATGATGGGAAATTAAGAAATATACTCCTACACTTCTTCATGACAGGAATTAGAATATTTTTTGAGCCAAAGGACAACAAAAATATTGCATACCAATACTTGTGATAAAATGGTGATGCTACTTCAGAAAATAGCTTGGCAGTTCCTCAAAAAGTTATATGTAAGAGAAATTGTATGACCCAGCAATTCTACTCCTGGGTATATATATCCAAGAGAACTGAAAACATATGTTCACACAAATATTCATAGCAGCATTATTCACAGTAGCCAAAAAGTGTAGACAACCCAAATGTCCATCAACTGATGAACAGATAAACAAAATGTGGCATATCCTAACAATGCAACATTATTCAGACATAGAAAGGAATGAAGTACTCATACATGCTACAATGGTTGAACCCCCAAAACATTACACTAAGTGAAAGAAGCCAGACACAAACAGCCACATATGATTCCATTTATATGAAATATCCATAAAAGGCAAACTAATGGAAACAGAAGGTAGATTGGGGATTGCCAGGAGCTTGAAGGAGGGGAAACTAGGGAGTAGCTGCTAATAAGTATAGGGTAACTTTTTGTGGTGATGAAACTGTTCTAGAATTAGATAGTAGTGATGGTCGTGCAACCCTGTGAATAACTAAAACTGCTGAGCCATATTTAAAAGGGTGCATTTTATGGTATGTGGATTATATCTCAAATTTTAAAAATTTTGTGAGTTGCAGTAAAGGGAAATTTATAACCTTAAATGCATATATTCTTGATAGTTTTTTGGTAAGAATACTCTCTAGTTTCTTATTATTCTTGCTAGTAAGAATTCTATATTAGTTTGCTTAATATTCTTACTAGTAAAGCCATGCTTGAGAAGATCTGCAAGAAACATGGATGTATGAAAAGTTTTTTAGAAGAACCTTTTAAAATATTTTAAAAGAGCCCATTAGAATTCTAGAAATTAAAAAGAAATAAATGGATTAAAAATGTAATGGGAGGAGTTAACAACAGATGAGATATAGCTGAAGAGAGAACTGGTTAACTGGAAGGTAGGTTGGAAAGCAATTGCCCTGATTCATATAGTAACTATGCTGCAGTATTCTGTGGTGATGTGTCATGATATCTGTCTGTACCTTCCTTTCAAATGGCTCAGCAAAATGTGTAGATATTTACCTATCTACATAATGTATATATAGATAAAAAACACGTTTAGCAAGACAGGGAGATAAAGCAAACATGGCAACATGTTAACTATTAGTGAATCTAGACTGAAATTTAGATTTCTATCAACTGTTATGTTCCAAAATTCAAAAGTTGGCAAATCCTCCCCCACTCTTGCTCTCTCTCTCTCTCTTCTCAAAAATAAATAAACACTAAACATTTTTCAAAAAAAAAAAAAGGGGGGGTCTGGGTGGCTTACTTGGTTAAGCATCAGACTCTTGATTTCAGCTCAGGTCATGATCTCATGGTTCTTGAGTTCAAGCCCCACATCGGCCTTTGTGCTGACAGTGCGGAGCCTGCTCCTGATTCTCTGTCTCTCCCTCTCTCTCCTTCCCCCCGTCTCAAAAATAATAAACATTAAAAATTTTTTTAACTGGCAAAAAGGTAGCATTTACAATAGCACAAAAATATCAAGCATGAAGGGATTAATGAGTTTACTGAGAAACATTAAGAGAAGACATAGAATATAAATACCATGCTCGTGTATTGGAAAGCTAAACATAAAATTTACGAGAGAAGACCCATAGAAATATACAGATATACAATGCTCCTAGATTAGAAGATTAAATTTGTCAAAATCCCCTCAAATTGATGAATATATTTAATGCAACTTTCCTCAAAATCTAAAAGGGCTTTCAGGGGGCGCCTGGGTGGCTTAGTCGGTTAAGCGTCCGACTTTCGCTTAGGTCATGATCTCGTGGTTCGTGGGTTCGAGCCCCGCGTCGGGCTCTGTGCTGACTGCCAGCTCAGAGCCTGGAGCCTGTTTCAGTCTGTGTCTCCCTTTCTCTCTGACCTCCCCTGCTCATGCTGTCTTTCTCTCTCTCTCTCCCCTAGAAATAAATAAAAAATATTTGAAAAAAAATAAATAAAAGGGCTTTCAATCACTATATTATACACCTGGAACTAATATTACACTGTATGGTAATTAACTGAAATTTAAATAAAAACTTTAAAAAAATCTAACAGAGTTTGGAAAGAACCTGGCAAGGTGCTTTTGAAATGCATATGGAAGAGACGAGGGTCACGAAGAGAAACACACTCTCGGCTTCCAAACACTTACGCACTGTATGGTTTTGTTCCCACCTCAGTGGTAGCTCCTTCTTGGCTTCATCCATTGATCCTTTAACTTCTTCCTGATCTTATGTTAGAACGCCCCAGGGCTCAAGCCTTCAGCTTCTCCCCACTATTATACTCTCTCCCTTGGCAATTTCATCCAGTCTCAAAGCTTTAAATAATCATCATTACAAATCGCCAGCCTCCATTCCAATCTAGATCTCTCTTTCAGACTTAACTCTCACATCCAATTGTTTATTTGGTATCTCCACTTGGCTTGTCTAATGGACGTCTGAGATGTAACCTATTTCACACTGAATGCCTCAAAACTTTCTCTGTCTGCCACCCTCTTCAGTCGATGGCAAGTTCATCCTCAATTCTAATTGCTCAATCCAACACTTTGGGTTCAGCTGTGACTCTTCTCTTTCTCTTAAATATTTTATCCAACCCATCAGCCCATCCCTAATCACTTCTCATGTAACTCCACTATACCTACCCTGCTTTGATCCACCCATCAGCTCTTATCTGGGTAACTGCAATGGCCTTCTAATCGGCTTACCTTCCCCGTCCCATGTCCCTGCATCTCTCTCTCTCCCAGAACCAATGTGATCATTTTAGAGGCCCAAGATCATTTTTCACCCTAAAACCTTGTCACAACTTTTATTTCATAGAGTAAAAGCCAAAATCTCTAACAACGGTCTTCTAGAATGTGTATCATCTGACACTGTTTCCTCCAGGACCTCAGATCTCCTGCTGTTACCCCTTTCCTCACGTCACACTAGCCACACTGGCTTCCTTGCCCCTCCTCAAATATGCCCAACACCCTCCCACATCACAGTCTTTGCACTAACACTTGCACTAGCAATTCCCTCTAGTTCTTACCCCAGTTTGTGGGATGAAAATCGGTTTGGGTTTGGCATTAGAATATGTTTTAGATGTCCCGTATTTCTTCAAAATAAGCAGGAACTTATTTTGGCTCTTAGTTGATAATTGTTGGAACTAAGCAATGAGTACATGGAGCCCTTACACTATCCTCTCAAACAAGTATAAAACAAAATGAAAGCTTCTCTGGAGGTTCTTGTGTGCCGTAGGGTAGAGAAGCACTGGTCTGTGATCCTCAAACTAGATCATTTTCCCATAAATAAAAATTCTAGGGGCACCTGGTGGCTCAGTTGGTTAAGCGTCCGACTTCGGCTCAGGTCATGATCTCTCGGTTCGTGGGTTCAAGCCCTGCATCCATCGGGCCCTGTGCTGACAGCTCAGAACCTGGAGCCTGCTTCGGATGCTGTGTCTCCCTCTCTCCCTCTGCCCTTCCCCCGCTCGCACTCTCTCTAAAAATAAATAAATGTTAGAAAAAAAATTTAAGTTTAAAAATAAATAAAAAATAAAAATTCTACTTGAAAAGCCGTCTTAATAAATTAAAAAGATACATGGAAGATGAAAAATATCACGTTTATTTTCCGAATACAAGAAAGAAAATTATGCATTTGAATTCACTTTGCAATATACATTAACAATAAAAACACTTGTTCCATGCTCCACTTGTCTTAGCTTAATCCCCAACCAACAGTGGCAGTCACAGGAAGGGAAAGGTTGCTGGCCCTTGGTTTGCAGAATCTGAAACTCGGCACGCGAGCATCTGGAACAGCTACCCCAGGCTCTGAAGGGCTTCTTACTGCCTGCTCATCCAACAGCTCTGGGAGAGCCATTTGCAGTTTGAGATCTTGTCACAACTTCCTCTAATGCTGAACATATTTTGAGGTAAAGTCCAGGGTGTGGAAGAAAGAAACTGTCTTCAGTTTCAAATGAAAACTAGTTCCTATTTAAATCTTACAATATTATCAAAGTGGTACCTTTTCTTTTTTTAAAAATAAACCACCCAAATGAGTTGATTGGTTTGAAAGATAATTCAATAATAAGCCTGACGAGGAAAAATCAAACTACTACCAGATTTTTGCCAGAATTGGTGAGAATCTATAAAAAGTTAACTTAAGTCTTCGGGAAGTGGGACCACACGAATTCTACCAAAAGTGGCTCTTGGGCTTGTTAGATGTGATCTGAGGTCCCCTCGGGAGCATGGGGAGGCTGGGAAGACTTGCTTAGTTGCAGACTATTCTCACTCATGCTCACCAGATGGCTATTGATGACATTAAGTTCTCTTATCACCGTGCTCAGGTCTTCGTGTAGTTTGACTATGGCACTTTTCACCTCCCCTAGCAGAATTTTAATGGAATTGTTTGCTTCAGGCTCCCCCGGCAGGCCGGCAGGTGTCTGAAAACTCGGACAGGACACAGAGGTGACATGGTCTACACTGGCGGCGGAAAACTCTGCCCAGTTACTGGCAGAAGCAGGACTTGTCTGCTCCTTAGCAGACTCAGAGTTCTCTGGAAGACTTCCCAGTGGATGAAGGTTGTTGTTCTCTTCATCAGAAGATACTCGGCCCCTAGAAGCAAAGGGGTGGTGAGCTCTGCCTGTCTTATCTTCATCTTTAAAGGAGGCAGAAGAAGACTGTTGATGGATCAGAGTCCAGAAGGAAGATCCCGCCAAAATCGGGGGTAGGAGATGAACAGACTTCTCCGGAGAGGCCGAACCAGGAGACGGCATGGATAAAGTAGAAAAGGAGGCAGTTCCTTCAGAAGTGGTTGAAACTAGAAGGGAGAGAGAGATTATGCAACATACAAACGAGAGTAATAGCTAAAATGATTTCACAGTGTAAAATCCCCATCTGCAAGGTCTCAACATAAATATACTACTGACAATTTCATATGCTAAATAGTCATAATGAGCCTAGATAAACCCGAAGCAGGAAGTAGGGAAAATCTAAAGATGTATTATATACCAACAATGCCACGGAAATGAAATGAACACGGAAGTATCAATATTCACCTTGACTGCGAACTGTGCCCGACATATTTTTACACCACACGCACCAGAGGGAGCAGAAAAGTAAAGTATTACACCCTATTCTACTGACTGGTGGCATTTTAAGTTGGCATTTAAAGTGGAAAGTCTGAGAAAGCTGTAACTTAGATGCCTTCATCTTTTTTTTTTTTCCTACAGAGAAAATTATAGGAAAATGAACACCAACTACAAGTACCTAAAAGCTGTCAAACAAATCTTTTTCTCTAACTGTTCAAATACAGTTAAGACTGAACTCCAGCCCACCTGAGATCTGGAACACTTGGGCACACATATGGAAATTTTTTTTTCCACCAAGAAACGGTTAAGTAAAATCAAAAGCATTCTAAACCGATTTCCTGTAAAATTGAATATTTGATAACATTTTAATCCCCTTTCAGGCAAAATCATACTCAATCGCTTCTTTGTGCACTTGATGCTAAATCGTTATTTCCCAAACTGTGTGCAGAGGAACACTGTGTTCCTTGAGATGTAAAAGGATGTTTCGGGAAATCAGGCTTTTAAAGTCAAGGAAGACCGGACAATTGCATATTGTGTCTCTTGTTAGGAGGTTAACAATGAACATTAGCACATTTAAAGTTCTGAGAAGCCTTACAGTGATTTATTCGCGTGTTTTCCAAACTTTCTTGGGCACAGAGCTTTCTCTTGTCTTCTTGGAATATCTATTTACATTCACGCGTGTATTAGGTGGTAAGAATTGGCAGAAATTGGTTCCTAAAGTCTTGCCGCTAACACTAGACTTGCTACTTTAACATAAAAAAAAGCCGACGTCATGGAAAGGGAAATTACCGCAGACCCCTTAGCACCCCTGACTTATCTTTCTCTATTATGTTATTTGCTTTACAGATGCATGTCCCTTTAAACTAAATTGAACCTCGCCTGTAAAAAACATGGCTGGGGCAGGCGGCTTCTATTTTCTGCTTCAAAGCTCTCCGAGGCCCATCTCCATCCAGTTTTTAGGAAAAATTCCAATCACAAGACATTTTGGGGGTGACATGAGTATTCTCAGCCGATGCAGCAGCAGGACATGAAAAGGAAAGTAGGAACTTCATCGGCACATGGTCAAGGCAAGAACAAGAGTGAAGAATCTAGGTCAGCCCTATCCTGACTCTCTGTCCTTGGCTTGAAAAGAGGGCACGGTGGTGACGGCACACTAATGAGGAGAGCCTCAACACGTGTGCGTCCTCAGCACCGCCGCTCTGCTCTGGGTGTGCTCTGTTTGGGTCACAGCTGTCACCTGACGTGTCCCCGCACCATCTTCCTGTGTTGGCTCTCCTGTTTCTATATCCCAAGTCCTTCTCTTTCTTGGCGTACCCTTACTTGGGGCAGCACATTCTCCAGCGGGTCACTGAAAAAGGACAACACAGTTACGTTAGTCACATGGGCACGAAGTGATTGCCTGGTTTAATTTTACGCCAGCGGTTCTCAAAGTGGGTGCCCGGGTGGCTTAGTTGGTTGAGCACTTGACTTCGGCTCAGGTCACGATCTCACGGTATGTGAGTTCAAGCCCCTCATTGAGCTCTCTGCTGTCAGCGCAGAGCCGGCTTTGGATCCTGTCTCCCTCTCCCTGTGCTCCTTCCCCCTCTCAAAAATAAATAAAACCTTAACAACAATAACAACAACAACAACAACACAGTGTGCCCCAGAACGAGCAGCAGCAGCACCTGGGAATTTGCTAGAAATAAAGTACTTGGGCCCTAGCCCTCTAAATCAGAAACTGAGACTGTGACCAGGAAATGGAGTTTTAACAAGCCTCTGAGCGTCTCGATGTGCGCTATAGTCTGAGAATCACTGTTTTCTGCTGTGTGTCCACCTTTCTTTCGCTTTGTAGCTACAACTGCTGACTGAATAGCTTATCATTGTTTACAGTTTTGTGGCTTTGATTCATAGGCTTTTGCTCATAAAAAGCCACTTCATCTCTAATTGCTGTGCACCAATTTACTTTTGTTTCCAAACACACCACAGCTGTACCATCCACTTCAACACTGCGCCTCAGGGTGCCTCTCCTGCCTGTTTCCTTACCCTGTTCCCACGCCCTGCAGAAGGTACTGGACTGTCTTGTTAGCAGCCATCCTCTTCATAAAGCATAGCCACCAGAGCCGGAATCAGCCGCAGTGAATGGCTGGATTTAAAAATCTCCCCGGGTGATAATATGCACGCCAATTAATGTTGCACTTGCTTAAAAATAGCACTGATAAAACCGTTCCAAATGCGGCTGTGTTATCTCTGACTTTTTATGCTCATGAAAACATCAGGCCAGTTAATTCTTATATTGCAACTTGAAATTTAAAAAGCATTTAGAAGAACTGCACGGCAAAAAATATAACGACAAATACATTTCCAGAAATATTTTTAAACTCTCTTCGGCTGTAGTTGTAAATGTACATTTTTCTGTTAGCGGGAGGCCCTTGTTCAGCTAAACATTTCAAAGTGTTCACTATAAAACAGGAACTTTTTATTCTTCTCTTTCAGTTTTCCCATCTGATATATAATGACGGGCAAGTTAACTGCACACGTGAGTTAAAGTATTCTGATTTTAGGGGCCCCTTGGTGGCTCAGTTGGTTAACTGTCCGGCTTCACCTCAGGTCATGATCTCACGGTTTGTGAGTTTGAGCCCCGCATCTGGCTCTGTGCTGACAGCTCAGAGCCTGGAGCTGCTTCCGATTCTGTGTCTCCCTCTCTCTCTGCCCCTCCCCCTCTTGTGCTCTGTCTCTGTCTCTCTCTCTCTCTCTCTCTCTCTGTGTCTCACGAATAAATAAATGTAAAAAAAAAAACTTAAAAAAACATTCTGATTTTGTTCTGTGTTGTAGAAAATAACATTTCATACAAATGTCCATAGCATAGCAATATTATTCATACTAGCTAAAAAGATGTAACAACTTAAATATCCACCAGCTGATGATTAGGTAAATAAAATGTGTTTAAACAGCGGAGTATTACTCAGCCATAAGAAAAAGAGAAGTACTGATTCATGTGACAACATGGATGAACCTTGGAAACACTGCGCTAAGTCAAAGAAGCCAGACAGGAGAGGCACATATGTATGATTCTGTAGCATGAAATGTCTGGAGTAAGCAAATCCACAGAGACAGAAAGTAGATTACTGCTTACAGGGAAGTGCTCGGGGGAGGGAGGAATGGGGAGTGGCTGGTAATGGATACAGGACTTTTTGGGGGTAATGAAGATGTTCTGGAATTCGTGGTGATGATTGCACAGTTGTGAGAAACATGAAAAGTACTAAATTGTACAGTTTAATAGGGTACATTTTCTGGTGCGTGAATTAGATCTCATACTTAAACAATTTTTTTTAATGTTTCTTTATTTTTGAAAGAGAGAGAGAGAGAGAGAGAGAGAGAGAGACCATGAGCAGGGGAGGGACAAAGACAGATTCCCAAGCAGGTCCTGAGCTGTCAGTGCAGAGCCCATTATGGGGCTCAAACCCACGAACCATGAGATCGTGACCTGAACTGAAACTGAAATTGGACACTTAAAAGGCATCCCGATCTCATACTCTTAAAAGTACAATATTTGAAATTTTATTGTCATGATTATAAATGGGCTGCATGAAAAGAAACAGATTTAGGAACAAAATAGGATTTGAGAGAAATGCTAATGAATCTGCCTCTAATCACTTACGCTAAACTCTTATTGGGACGATTGGATGATTGGATTAATGCTGAGTTTTTTCACTTACTTACGAAGTATACATTTGGCTCACTGAACGTAAAAAATCAAATCAGTGTGTCTTTTTGTCTGCACGAAGGCAGGCGGGAGCTGTACGGCGGGAGGAGCTGCTGGGACCGTGGAGTGGGGGGCAGCGCGGCCGGGTGCTGCCCTGGCTTCCCTGACCCCTACGATTAGACCCTCTTCCACCCTCCACTCTGCATGCTCCTTCTGAACCAGCCTCCAGCAGCTCGGGGGTAGCTGAGAAGATGGTGTGCAGAGCTGTGCTCTACCCTTTTCCGCATTTCTTTTTGGGAAGGTTCATTATTCTGGCTATGAAATCTTTTATAGACAAAAAGGTAAAGGGCAAGGTCAATGAGTCGTGTGCGTGTGTGTGTGTGTGTGTGTGTGTGACTGTGTGTGAGTGTGTGTGAGTGTGTGATGCTTGGTTTCTTTCCTTAGCAAAGATGAACTGAAAAACAGCTCCACAGAACCACCACTACTGAAATCCACAGTACAAAAATGGAATCAATGAGATATAAACAAAGGATGGAGCCAGTGAGGATGCTCACCTCTCGCCTGGAATGACAATGTATAGATTTTTTTCCCCACCCCCAAAATTAGAAAGTAAAGTCCAGGGCAGTTGAACACACTTATCCAAACTGTGGCTTATGAATATAATGATCTGGGGCACCTGGGTGGCTCAGTTGGTTAACTGTCGGACTTCGGCTCAGGTCATGATCTCTAAGTCTGTGAGTTCAAGTCTCGCATCAGGCTGTGCTGACAGCCTAGAGCCTGGAGCCTGCTTCAAATCTGTGTGTGTGTGTCTCTCTCTCTCTGCCCTTCCCCCACTCGTGCTCTTTCTCTCTCTCTCTTTCTCTCTCTGTCTCTCAAAAGTAAACATTAAAAAATATTTTAAAAAATAATATAATGATCTGGCTTCTGTGTATCTCTAGCTCCTTTTTGCTTTTTGGTTGGCATGACAAATGATCTAATGACCTAAAGGAATAGTCTGACCTAGAGATAAAGAACATAAAATGGAAACGGAGGAAGAGAAGGAATGGA